CACATCATCTTCCGTGTCCTTTCTGTAACGCGGCTGTCATCGCAACAGGGCATGAAGGGATTAGCACATGGTGTGGTCCAGACAGGTCTCTAAGGCATCTGGACTGGATGAGAGTAACCAGAAGCAGTGATGCTACAGCACTGAACACAAAATTCAAAAAGATGGGTATCAGAGTAGCCTGATCTGAAGGTGGAAAAGAAAAGCTTAAATTAAATATCTCGCATGAGAGAGCAGCCAGTGACCATCCCCTTCAGTCCTGCCCTGTCTTTCCCCCCCGCCTTGCTTCCTCATCTGCGCTCAACAACTGGCGAGGCTGAAGCTGGCTGGTGGTGTATGAAGAGCACAAAGACACAACCTGAGGAAACAGGTTAATTGCAGGAGAACACTGGAAGAGTAAGGCCCCAAAGGACAGCTGCCTCCAAAGTGGACTCAATACATGCAGCACATGAGGCACTGGATTATAATTTGGTGTGACTGGTTAGGAGGTGTGTTTCTTCTGAGTCGGTGGCAGTTGTAGACGTGGGAACACCCGCGGCGATACCTGCCTGGTCAGCCAGAAGGAGCAGAATGGAGCATCTGGCTTGTGGAGGCAGTCTAGGCCAGGAAGTGGAATTATCTTGATTTTATGCAAGGAAGGTTTCTTTTGTTTGGGTTTTTTTTTCGCTTCTTGTTTTTACCACAACCCATTAAATATAGCCTATCAATTAAGGATAAGCCAAACAAATTCATAAAGGAACCCACTAAATAATTTGTCAGTTTTTTAAAATAGGCAGTCTCTTGAGAAGAAGGGTCTACGACTAAATTAGCAAGAATGCTGCAGGTCAGGTTTGAAATACTGCATGGTGACAGAATTGTTTGGAAAGATCTGCCTGGAATTCTTTTTCATTACAGCCATATCCAGCAAACACTTGGCAGAAAGTTCAGTTCCTGCTTATCTGAGTTGTCCTTCTGAAATTGCTCAGCTTATTTAAGTGAAAAGTTCCTTTTCCTAAGCAAGAATTTTCAAAGTCTTTTTTTTTGAATAGTGAGTCCATGAAAGCAGGGCTTGCTTATTAATAAACCTTTAATAGAAATGCTGCTCTCCAGAACGGCACACAATGATCACTTTACAATATTTTAAGTGTTCTTAAAAATGTTCTAAAATAAGTGTAGACAATATGTTGGCATGAAGATTTGTGGTAGCTTTTTCATTAAACCATGCATTTTATCTTCTATAAGAGATTCCAGTCAGATTATTTTTTACAGCTATAAATCAGCGGTTTGATTCTATGATGTTTTTACACCAGTTAATAAAACACATCATCTGTTTGTGAAGAAAGGTTCATTTTTAGGCATGGAGATTATAGTAATAAGGAAGGCAGCCACATATAATCAGACATTTTAGCATAATGCTAATTTTGGTGCAATGCAGATCATCTAGGGTTTTTTTAAAAAAAATTGTTTCATGACAGCAAGTGGAGCACAGAACTTAGCTTGATCTGACTAAAACCTGAGCAAAATCATATTTATTCATTCAGACAGAGTATTTGCATTTGTAAATGTGTAGGAAGGTTTGATTAACATTATATCAAGCTTTTTGTTTCCTCTGTTCCTCAATTCTCACTTCTCTTTCTCAAAACGGATTATGACGAGCGTATCCGAGTTCAAAGGAAGTCTGGAACCCAGGCAGTGTCTGAGAGTTGGCGGGACACTTAGGTTTGTGAGCCTGATGAGTTTGCATACTACAAATGTTGAGGCAGTCCTGGTTAAATTATGCATCTGTTAGCTGTGGGTCCTTTAGCGTTTGTGATTCCTCATGGTTAGTTGCTGTATGTCCAAGTCTGGGTTAAAAAGTCTTTTTCTTTTATGTGACTGAGAAGTTCCTGCCTTCTCTTTTCTTCAGCCTTTATCTTCTGTGTCTTTCTCTGGGAATAGCTTTAAGATTAAGATAATGCTTAAGAGTTTATAGTCGTTGTCTAGCAGATAGATTCTGATAAAAACCAGTGCACTGAAGTTACTGTCATAGTATACAGAAGGGAAACAAAGTTCAGAAGTCTGTTTGAAGATGTAATGTCGGTGTCGTAGGTGGGATAGGGAAGTCTAATACCATAGCGGAGCCTAGCAAACATGCTGCTCTGAAGCTCTGTACCCAGGTGTAGTATAGCAGAGTGGGAGGACCTCTTAAGGACCCAAGAAAAAAGCTAGCTCCACGCTACTCTGGAGAAAGTAATGAAGGTGCTGGAGGCTGGCAGAAGAATATGGTTCTCAACTATGCAATGGAAACAGCATCAAAATTAGTGTGGTCATAGGATCATGCAGGAGAGGAGTCATATTAGAAGCAGAAAAACTTGACTTTTTCTACAAGGAGGAGAGGGTTTTTTTTCCCTGCAAACCAGACGTAGTTGAAGAACTCACTTTCTCAGGGCAAAAGAAGGGTTAATCAATCATTTATTTATTCATTCATTTTGACATTTTGGACCGATATGTGGATTTCTGTTTTGTTTAAAATTTAGTCAGGGTGAGATAGTAACTTGAAATATCTGCCTTTTGGTGGTCCAGATGACAGTGAGATGAACGTGAATGGGTGGGGTGAAGTTAGCAAGGTGAAGAACCATACCCTGACATCCTGATATAGAAGACTTTTTTTGAATAAAATAATTTTACTTTTTCTAGGTAAATTAGTTTAGCATCCCAGCACAGTACCTGTAATTCAGTTTCTAATTATGTAAAAAACCAAACCAAACAAAAAACCCCCCAAAACTCCACACCCAAACCAACATATATCCTCATATATATACCAAGTGCTTAAGAATCCACAATAGCTTGAAGACACTAAATTTGAAGTAATATTTTAAAAATCTGGCAAGGCTATTGTTGTTTGAATGGCTGCTTTTTTTCAGCAGTGTGTTATATTGTTGAACAATGTTTCATTCCTGACTTAGAAACTGATTATGCATCCACTAAGCATAAAACTTTAAAGTAGTGAGAGAAGTCCAATCAATTTTTTTTATAAAAATGCACAAGAGCCACTGCCAAAGTGTCATAGTTTTGTGAAGCTATGCAGAGGGTCCTGGCATACAGACTGCTTGGTTAGATTCACTCCTCTGTGACCCAGGCAGATTTTAAAGTTTAAAAATCTTCACTTTCACTTGAAAAAGCTTCCTTGAATACATAGTAAGTAATGCTTTTAGCTCCTCAGCACATAGCAAAAAATAAGTCCAAATACAGTCTGAAAAACTATGAACCTTTTAAAATTTCAGAAGCTCCTTACAAGAATTAAAACAACAAGGAGATCATGAGTGGTATGATGGAGTGTTCTGCTCCACTTTCTGCAAGGAATCATGCAGCGAGCCCGTGTCCCTTGGGAACGGAGTAGCTGCACTGCCTGACTTCAGGTACTCATGTGGGTGATCCAAATCGTCCCCTGCAAGCCCTTACTTCTTGCTCTTGCCGCCATGGGAAATTTAGGCTCCTTAATTTCAGTGCTCTCACTTGCACCCTACTTGCAGACCAAAAGTCTTAGTGATGACATCATCTTCAGGTCCCTTCCAACCATCTCTGTGCCCACGCTGTCAAAATTGGAGGTGATGGGGACAAGATGCTGTCATTTATTAAATGGCCAAACTTGAGTCTTACCTGATGTTGCCAGTTAAGGTAACGTATATGAAATAGCCAAAGCAGAGCATGTACATGTAAACCACTGCAAAAGTGGTATAATTGGCATTTTTTTTCATCAGGTTATTTTCTGTAGGTAAAGGTTGCAGTTGTACATTTCTGAATAAAGTAAAATACTTCAGTATGTGAAATTTCTGATTTTTCCTGTTCTTTGAATTTCTGAAGAACCTGGTTTTATGCCAAACCCACTTTTATGGCCAAATATTGATTTTCATAAGCAGAGTTATAGGAAGTGACTAGATTGCATGATCACCTTGTCTGTCATGCCTGCGAGTAGCTTTGAAAGGAAGAGACGCGTCAAAGTATAATGCAGTCTGAGTGTAATTTATGAGAATGACATATGTGAGCATGTTTTAGGAAATCAGTATCATTTAGATGGAGCTGAAAAGATTCTGAACTCCGTTGTCATTTTGAGGATCTTTAAAGTGAAGTGCAAAGTATAAAATAATGTGGATCCGTGAAATCCTCAGCATTATGTCATTTACCCTCATCGTAACATGAACTGTTTGTGGAAGTTCTGACAATGCTATTTCAGTCGTCTTACTATATATTTCTTAATGCATATTCTATTACTGTTGAAGATATGTTAAATTATGTTAAATGAAACTTTTCAATGACCTAGCATAAAACAAGTCCAATCAGAATGTAAGAAATCGTAAATGTTTTCCAAAGCATTCTGAAGTTGCAAAAATCCCACTGATTGTGTTTGGTTCAGCTCTTCTACCTGCATCTTTAAAAAAAAAAATACTTTTAGCATTTACAGTTGTAATTACGAGATCACCTACATGAAGACTAAGCCTGTCACTGTTTAGTTGTCTTAATGAAAGAATAGTTACATACTTTCAATAGATCTCTTCTTTACCATCATTGAAATAAGACATGAATGTCTTCACTATATTATTATTATTAATAATAATTTACTTCTTGAAATAACGACACCAGTTTTTGTTGCTTGATATTTATATAAATGGTAAGGTTAGTTGAGCTAACTGCTTAGTTAGGAAGATTCGCTCCCTGTCTTTTTAGACTATCATCCGACAAATGCTTTTATGATTTATTTTGCATATGTGTGTAGTAGGGTTTCAATTAAATGAATATTGATGGAAGTATTACCTTAGGTTATAAAATAATCAACCAGAGATTGTTTTAGTTTGGTTATTGTGGAATACCAAATGCTTTATTGTGACTTAACAATTAAGCACGTGTGCACACACTTCCAAGTTGGTGCACATAATTCCAAGTTTTTATGCATAAAATAAAATGTATATTAACGTGTGATATCTACATATGAAATCTGCAGATACTAAGAAAAAGTGCATTATTAATGGTATATTTTTCTTTTGTAGCTTGGATCATCCTCCTCTGTGCCTTTTACATCTATATTCTCGCAGCTGTTTATGACTGTTGTAGTCCCCCTTATTATTGGACAGGTATGTCTTTTAAATATACATTCTTATTTAAAAAAATAAGATAAAGAGAGCTATCTTAAAGACAGACTGGCAACCTCGTAAGCTGCCACATAGGAACAGCCTCAGGATAGCAAAGTCTAATATCAGAGAAAAGATGCTACAGTGCTCCCTGGAGCCACATTGATCTTTGTTGAGATTGAGCATCTGTCCCTCACTACCACAAACATACGCTACTGCATATCGAGAAGGGAGTTTGTGAACATAAAGTGGGAAAAATGGCAGCCCAGACTGTGAGAAATTCCAGCCCCATACAAATGAGCTTTGAGAATACTATATAGTCCTTTTGTCACATGCCCTTTGCCTGGATAATGAAGGAAGTTCTCCCTGTGTAGTATCTACTACTAATTACAGGAATAAAAAATTCTCTACATTAAAAAACATGTAAGGGCTAAGCCGTCAGAAGTTAAGAAATAATAAAATTAAGGCAGCTCAAACCATTTTGCATATGCTTTACAATAAGGGTTTTAATTGCACAATTGCAAACTACTCTTTCTGCATAACTCCTCTGTCGTTTGTTGCACTGGATGAAGGGTATTCACGAATGAGCAGCTGTTCAATATTTCATTTTATACTCATTGTTCATATTGAAACACAAAGCCTTATTTTTCATAGCCTATGATTGAAATCTTTCACTGAATGTAAAGATACTAACTGCAGTATAAGATTTTCTGTGACACTTGTCTCTGTAGTGTCTGTTTTTTCACAAATATTATTTTTTTCTCCCACATCACGGTGGGAAATTGCTATATTAAGACCAAAAGTTGTCAGAAGTGTCCACTATTCTTGGATGCCAAAACTGAAACACCCGAAGCCTAATTCTTACATGCTTGTAAGTGTTTGTTGTTCTTGGGCATTCAGAATGCACAAAGGGAATATCAGTGGGATTTGCAGTTCATTCCCAAGGGGTACCACTGCTGCTTCTAGCATCCAGTTTAGCTCTGGGTTCAGCTGGAACTTTCTGAGTTTTTTCAGCCTAAAAGCAGACTTTGAAATGGAAAGGTGGTTAAAACCTAAGCAAATGGAAGTGGAGTCTATAAAGGAGCAACCTGGACAAGGTTGAGAATATCTGTCATTGCCTACGCTGTGTAGAACAGTCGATCAGTCTTGTATCAAACGATAATTGCACATTTCAAAATTAGCATGTACTGTAACCAGAGTCCTAGTGGTTTGTTTCTTATATGGCTCAAAACCCCGTGAAAGTCTAATAAGAAGTTGAGCATGATAAGCACATAGCCACCAGCATCAGTACCTGCATAACCTGGATGTAACCATACCACGCGGAAAATGGGCATAACCTCTGTGTCCCTGAAGGCTACGGAATTGCTCACGTGCTTTGAGTTGAATGCCCAAGGACGTCCTTATTAATTAGGAGCACAAAGGGTTGCTGATGAACCTACCTGTGTATCGCACTCTTAGCTCATCAAAATTAAATTAAGTCTCCACCAAAAGTGGTCAAAGCAAAAGTACTTAAATCCTCTGGTCCTGAAAGGTCCAAAAACTGGAAGCTATTAATTGGAAGCCTTAGTTGGAAATTTCTAGGAAACAAATAGCATGGCAGCAAATCTAGCAATAAAGTAACCTATAGTGATGGAGTATCAGCAATCTGTACTGCAGTGTAGTAAGTCTGAAGATGATGGTAGATTGCTAGACAAAGTGATTGCAAAATTTGAAGATGACTCTTATCTATATGTATAAATGGCATGTTACTTTGGAAAAATGTTACAAGGAATTGCTACATGAGCTAACTGGTGGAGTTGGGGTGTTTTTTGGCTGCACCAAATAGTAAGGCTGAGTAACATGAATTGAGCAGTAAACATATGAAATAAGTGCTCTGAATGATCAGAAGTTCAAAATCAGAGTTGTGATGAGACTTAACTGAGACCAGATGTGATTTTGGAGTTCTGATAAAGACTGAAAAAAAAAAAAAAGACCCAGAGACTCTTAAAGCTTGTGTAACTCAATCACAAATTTATTTAAGACTTTGGTTTTTATAAATATACTTCAACAAGAAATAGGATGATTCTTCTTTAAAAGTGTTTGAAGCAGTTTCTGGAAATGAATGATCAACAGAACTAGCTCACATTCCCCTAAGCATAAAGACGTTGTTTCTAAAGTTATTGCACTTGATTGTATCTGTTCAGAGGATATGGAAGAGAGGAAATGCTAAGGGTAGCTACAGATCAAAAATGCCAAAGGTAGTTTACACTGATTGTCTTGATTAGGTAGAACTGTACAAAGGTAAACCAACCTGCCCAGATAGGAATAGAAGCCATTTTTGAAGGTAGATATCCAAAAATAACATGCAGTAATCAGAGAAAAATAATAAGCAAGAGAAGGACTGACACCAAGAGATACAGTGGTAGGTCTGCTTGCCCTTCACCTGGAGGTGGCATGGATCTGCTCCCAACTAAATGGGAAGTTTTGCATTTAGTTTGTAGACCACTACTCACTCGTTACTGAACTGTTGCACAACGTGCGGCACAGCAACGTAACATTGCTTTGCGAGTCACAAGTTGCTCATTCTGGGATTCCAGATGCATTAAGAGATAATGGCCCACAATTCATGAATGACTGTTTCAGCAATTACTTCTAATTTATCATTTCATGCCCACAATATCAATTCCTTACCATGCACAGTCATGCTGTTCAGCAGAAAAGTCAGTGGAAGAATGCCTGGTAAGGTTACGTGGTAGCAAAGAGCTTGACTGGGAGAAAAAACCCGAGCTTGGAACCTGCCCGCTCAAAGGATTGCTTCTTTTCAGCCTTCCTAACTCAGCTGTGATCAACAGAGGCTTTACGCTCTCGATCCACATCAGGGTAAAACAGAGAAGGCTGCTTCAAGGAAGCATTCTCCAAGGGCTTTATTTTCCTTTAAAAAAAATCTCGCCTCTGGGAAAACCTGTGTTGCCTAAATGCTTATTTCCTGATCAGGCTGCAGAGCTGGCTGTTTGAGCAGCCCCTGGGATATAAGCAAAGCAGATGAGAAGGTGCTTTTAGATTTGTTTTGTTTGGGGTTTTTTTGTTTGCTTTATGGCAAAATATATCAAGAGTTTTGGTTGCTTGGCTGGACTTGTCAGAATTTTTAACGATGGCTGGGAGAAAGAAGTCACAGTAGTGTAATTGATGCTTATTTTCTACTGTTTCTCGAACAATTTTTCAGCGTGGCAAGACTGCCGTTGACAGGAGTCAAACACGCTTTGCTAGCCGCTGACGATGAAACGTGTAAAGGGCTGCAGGTACAGGCTCTGCTCAGGTGGTGGCTGCAATTTGTTAGCTAAAGAAAGAACTACTAAAGGAGGAGGAAGGCACTATGGTATCAGAAAGGCACCACGTCTTACAGGTAGCAGTTACTGGTAGATGGGCTTCAATAAGGCGAATGCCTCTGTTCTTTGTCAGAGCTGTGCAGGTTGTCTAAACCTAAAATAACTTTGTGGCCTGCATCCTCTATGTCTACAGATGGGTTTTGCTAGTTGACAGTATGATGTTACTCAAATCAGTATCGATAGTATAATATTGCATTTGTATTTATAGAGTAATGAATAAGACCCCTCTGACAAGAAGTCATGAAAAGAGACATAATCTTTATAAAATACTATAGAACTAATGTTCTATAAGCCTTGAAGATCTGTAGCGTATAAGAGCTTGTTATTTGTGCACCATTCTTGATACCTCTGAGGGGAATTTCAGAATACTTGTTATATGATAAACATGATAATAGATATTTAATGGAAAAGATTTTTGAATTTGCTCTGGCAGCTTGAAGTTCTGATTATTTTTTTTTTGCCTGGGCAGCAGGGTTCTCATGAAGATTGCTGCTCCTGAGCTGTTGTGATTTTGCTAAAATAATTGTTTCCTTGTCTATAGATGTTGGTAAAACTTTTAGCCAGCAAAATGTAAGGTTTTGAGAAATGTCTAAGCGGTTTCTTCGTGACCAGTTGTGACATTTGGCGGAAGACTGTTGTTTATCTGCTTATTTTTGTCTTCTGAAGTGACAGATAACAGGAACAGTGAAAAACACTGCAATATTTCCTTTCCCCTTTTTGCAGGCTTTCTCCATTCTCCATACCGAAGTGCTTATGACAGACTTTTATTTTATGTTTTATATTAAAGAGCGATTTATGATTAAATGTTAATGAAATAGAATTTTCACTGTGCTTTCATTATATTCTACTAGTTTGAACATTTTTCAAAGCAGCACACCAAAACCCGCTGTTTTCTATGAATAAATAATAAAAAGCTTGTCTGTACATTATCATTCATGCATTCTCTAGTTGCCCCATTGGTAATTTGTCTGCCAGCGTAAAGTGGGCACTTCACATTAAACAGACCTTAACTAAAGCTAAAATTAATGTTATGATTCTAAGTATTTCTTCTTCCCAAATCTATAAAATGAAGCCAGTTGTACAGAAATCCTCGCTGAATCTAGTCACACAAAAAAAATCTTGATGTCCTACAAGTAAAGGATTTTAAGTGCCTTCTGCATCGTTGCCCAAAATGTTCCAGAGGAACCCTATCAGCATTTGGGAGGTGTGCTTACAAACACAACTCTAAAAGGTGCTATGTTGCAATACAAGTTGTCAGTGAAATTGAAACTAAAAAGCTTAGCAATGTATTTATTTTTTAAAGAATAAGAAATTGAAAGGGAAAGGTAGGTGGCAGTTGCTAGGGAGGAGAAGGCACTATTCACCTAAGCCTAATGTTTGTTTATAGTGGGTGGGTTGGGGAAACAATAGTTAAAGAAACCGTTATAAAAAGGGAACGGTGTCAAATCCTGTCATTCTTGTAACTTAAATCCACGTGGAAGTAGCCCTACTTTCTCTTCAAAGTCCATGGGAGCTGCAGGGAGGAGGAGCAGTACCCTGGGAGATAAGCATTTCTGAAGCTTGTTGCAGAAAACTGAGATGGCAGATAAACAGCCTCCAGATCATGGTTCGCTCCCTTCTGGCGCTTGACTCAAACAG